TGATAGTTTCTGCATGAACAGTTCCAGCAATTTAGCTTTTTTGTTGTTGTTTTGAAGACTGAAATATTCTATCAGGAATGTTTTACACTCCCAGGATGGATATGGATACTGTGTTCAGTTCTTGATTATTTTATAAGTATCAGATACAGACTGTGGCATTATGCTTTTCTGTTTGCCAATTCATCAGTGTATTGTCTTGTGGTGTCATCAAAGTTGGAGGTTTTTTTATGTTGCTTTAGTTGAGGGTTTCTGTATTTTTCTTTTCACATATTAGTGTTATAGTAGGCACTCAAGGTAATGGTTATTTATTCATACAGCTCTGCTTTTCATGTAGTCCACTATTTTTCATTACCGCTCTATCCTTTATCCTTTTTATGCATCCAGATATATTTTTGCTCCATTTAACTTTTGGCAACAAAGTCTTCACCCAAAGATATGCTATCTTGAAATCCAGATATTTGCCATAGTTGCCAAAATTTAATATACTGTCACAAAGGGTGAGTGTTTTGCCGACAAAGATTTTACTTTGGAGGGGTTTTTTTCCATAAAGAAATAATCCATATCTTCTATGTATAGTGATAGTTAACAATAGTACAGCCAGACCCAATAACGAGAGATGTGCACATTGCATTCTATGCTGGTTTATTCTGTATACAAGTTTGAACTAGCTGAAATATTTGGTTAGTATTTAATTATGTTAATATAACTGAAGAGGGGAAAATAGATTATAATCATTTTCTTCCTCTCAACTGTAGATAGAACAGTGCCAGATGCGTCATTGGTGTAACTCCATTGTTACAGTAAGGATGAACTTGCCCCAAGTTCTTTGAGTTCTTTTCTTTTTTCTTAGTAAGCATCCTATAATATGATATATTTGAAGGCTTAGGAGATGGACCACAGTGGAAAGGATTGTTGTAGAATCCCAAGTAGTAACAAACGGAATCTTGAGAGAAATATAGAGAGTCTGAAAGCAATTGTTAGTATTAAAGACATTTTTTTGCTGTTGATGATATTAGGACGTCAGCAGGTCTATACTAGTAGAGTTCTGAAAGCCAAAATGCAGCTGTATTTTTACCTCCACTGCCAGATTTACATGCAGCTGGGTGTCTCCCACACCCTATTGTGGTCAGTCAACAATTCAGCGTACAGTGTATTAAATATACCAACAACAACAATACCCTGTCCTTCTGAAAATAGAAATAAACAACTAATTAAGGGTGATTTCTATTGTTCTTTGTAAATTGGCTTTCTCCCTCAAGGCAGTAAGACAGAATTATTTTAGTTCTACATAAACTGCCTCCTGTGATTCATTGTTAACTCGTAAAACACACTCATTTTCATCTACTTTAGCAGGTGAGCCATTTTCAGTGTAGGTTTGTAATTATTTTTGGTTTTGGCAACACATTTAAATTGACATTTGAGAGAGAGAAATCTAAAATTCACTTATAGCCTCTAGTTTAGGTTTGACTTAGTATCATACAAATACCAGAACTAAATATTGTTCTCTGAAGTAATGTAAAGTATATTGTACAGTATCTTAACATAAAGTTTAATTTTGACTGAGTACACTCAAAAAAGGATCTATGAATATTAGAGAGCTGTAGTTAAGAACTTACATGACTGTTTTAAATACTATTGATTTAAACCACTGGCTAGATTTTATGAATCAAAGTGTAATTTCCAAGCTTTGGCTATATTTCTCAACTCTAAAGCACTCTCTCTTGTGTGCCTTTAGCAGCTTTCCAGACATTCAACACGGGATTAAATGATAGTAGTTACAATGATCAATAGGTTAAGACCGGTACAATCACTCTTACCGCTAATGACCTCAGTAGTAATGGGTAATAAAGTGTGGGCTATAATAGCCTATTGCTGGTGCTGCATGCCCTTTGATTCCTAGTATTACTAGGGACTAGCTACATGAAAAAGTTGAGAGTTAAGGGAGTGGATATATAGGCTATAATTCTTAACTATTTAAAGTCCTTAAACAGTGCTCTTTTTTTTTTCTTTGACACAATAGTTTCTGGTCCATTTGAATATGTTTGTTAAAGGTTTCCATAAGTTATTTTCATGATATGCTGGAGTAGAAACTTCGGGTAAATTTAACTTTTATTACGTTTATAAATTAAAGGTAGAGTCCAGAGCTAGCTGGTGTGACAGTGCAGTTTCAGATGATAAAGGCTGAGCTCCTTAGCATACTGCTGCTGTCCAAAGGATTCCATAGATGTGTTTTCTGTAAAAGCATTAATAGTTTCTGTTTAGAAATTTTTCATTGGATGGTACACAAATGCTTTTGAAATGTAGCGGCCATGTGCACAATTCCCGTGGAAGTTGGTGGGAGTGGTCCATCCATAACCAAAGCAGAAGAATGTGGCCCTTAGTACTAATCGTTGATGTGTAGGGTTTACAACACCCCGCCCTGTTCCTGTCTGGATCCCTGTTTTTTGTTAGAAATCTGATTGAAGAGTATTTGTATTGTATATCTTCCAAGAATAGCACAGAAAACATACTTAAACATGCTTCCTTTTCTGTTTGCTCAATTAGACTTCAATAAAAGTAGTGTAAACTTCAAGGACAAGTAAACTCCTTTTGGGATGGAATAACAAAGAGGAATAAAGCTCAACAACTAGTATGAGGACTAGTAAGACATTTGTACTTCAGAAAAGTTATTTTGAAAATCACATGGAGTAGGATGGTCAGCATTAATGAGCTTACTGACTCTGATGATCGAGGCTTCTCTGGGTTTGTCCCAGTTTGGTATTGCAGCACCTCTGTAGTGCAGCGACTGTCCAGTGTGTTCACTGTTGGATTATACAAATAGCTAAAAACTGGTCCAACCAAGTCATAGGAGGGTTCACCATTGACTTCATTGGACCCAGGATCTGTTGAATAATTAAATCTTTGTTTTCATAGTGAGCAGATGTGACTGTTTTTTGTATATTATTATGGATTGTCCAGATGTATACTATAGTGCATGTTCATCAGCACTGTGTGATGCTAAGAACTCATGGGTGAGAACTCTCAATGCTATGTTAATAAGGTGTCAAAAACTCGTAACCATTTCTTGGAGTTTTTCAAACAAATGTCTTAAAAGCAGTTCCTGCCACTTGCAGACAACATGTACACAACAGCATTGAAAGGTGTGCACTGTACGTGAATCTGACCTTCAGGAACCATTTTTAGTTCATCAAAATTAGTGATGCTGAGAAATCAGGACATCAGTGCATAATGACTGTGAAATTAGGAATGAGAGCTTGCTATGCAAATGACAGGACAAATCATGTGAAAAAGTCAAGATAAACTGCATATTAAGACATTATGTTACATAAAATTAATACTGCATTTCTCTCTTGCTTACTACTACTCTGAAAGATTTTTTTTTTAATTCTTTTATCTTCTGATCAGCTATTGTCTGCTGATTTTTAAAAAACTGGTGTGCAGAGAAAGTGCAAAACATGTTATTACCTTTTATTGTAATACATGAGATGACAAGAGATCCTTTTTAACAAAGTATATCCTTTACTGCTTTTAGTTCTGTGCTGTCACATATTTGATTTGAAACTAAAGAAAAGTAAGGTGCTTAAATATTACTGTTAGAAATCATATGGGTTTTGTCTTTTTTGCTCTATTGTGTTTTTTTTTCAATTTTTTCCTTTTTTATCATCATTTCTAGTGAAATAGTCTTCTTGCATTACTGGGACTGACAAAATGGTTCTCATGTAGTCTGCAAATTAAATACAAGTGCAGTGATTATTTTGAATAGCTAAATTACATTCTAGAAAGCTTGCAGAATTCATAGCATTGTCATTAGGTATCCGCTTGAATACAATTTGTGTAACCTTGGCCAAGACAGCCTGTCATTTTAATGTCAGTGTTTTATCTGAACAAGACATCATCCTTTCAGATACAGTGTACAGGTTCCTTGCAGAGATGCCCGTGCAGAAACGTGTTAACAGTTGCAAATATGAAATGCTATCAAGTTCATCACTGTAGCTGTTTGTCACTGAAATGTCATGGAAAGCGGCTTTTAATGGTATCTCACGTAATATGAAAGAATTGAAGACATCTGTATGCTGGGTGAATATGGAATGGTAAAGACATCGTAGTGGGGTCTTTCTGTTAAAATTGCATAGGAACATAGGTGCTGTTTGTCATATCCCTGAGATTTCATTCATTTTCTTAAAACCATTCTTTTATGGGGGTCTACATCCCATCATTCTGGGACACCTGATTGGGGTTTTTTGGTGTCTGTTTTTTTGAGTTGACTGTTTATTGTAAAAATAAATCTTTCTTGACAGCTTATACTGTATGCCTATGTTTAAACTGTTTCCATTGCAATAGTGTTCTGGAGAAAGAGGATGTGGCTGGGAGAAAATAAAATTGGTGCGTTTATGTTTATTTCAGTGATCTCTAAAGGCTCTTGCATATTTCATTATTTCGACACCAAAGTAGGGGACTCCAAATGAAATTAATAGGTAGCAGATATAAAGGAAGTTTAGGAAGTTTTTCTTCACGCAGCACAAAATCGACCTGTGGAACTCCTTGCCAGGGGACATTGTGAAGACTAGAAATTTAACAGGGTTCAAAAAAGAACTAGGTAAATTCATGGAGGTTAGGTCCAGCAATGGCAGTTAGCCAGGATGGGTGGGAATGTTGTCCCTAGCCTCTGGAAATGGATGACAGGAGAGGGATCACATGATGATTACCCATTCTGTTCACTCCCTCTGGGGCATCTGGCCACTGTTGGAAGACCGGATACTGGGCTAGATGGACCTTTGTTCTGACCCGGTATGGCTGTCCTTCTGACACAACAAAGTGTGAGAAGTAAGCAATTTAGCAGAAAATAGCATGGTCTCCTAATTAGTTTGGTACACCTAGCAATGGACAAATAATTATTGGGATAACAAACAATTGCTTAATATTAAAAAGGAGAATAAACTGCAGTGGAACTCTTTGCAACGTGTCCTGACTTTGTACGCACATTGTCTTTAATGCTCCAGGTTCCTGTGTCAGTGGCTATGATGACACCTCAAGTTATCACTCCCCAACAAATGCAGCAGATTCTCCAGCAACAAGTGCTAACTCCCCAGCAACTCCAGGTCCTGCTCCAGCAGCAGCAGGCACTCATGCTTCAACAGGTAAATGTTTCTTTTACCGCTGGTAAGATGGCTCTTCTAGGGGAGCTAAAGTCTTTAAATATTCCTGTGGTGGACGCTGCCTGCGTACTGGACCACGAATCTTATAGTAGCGACTCTGTATCTCGTGTGAGCGGATTGCTTTTTTGTGTTTAAAACTAGCAATTGCTATTGAGAACATAAGCACAAGGACTAAAACGAGATGCCTTTACCAGATATGTATGAAAAGGTGCATGCTTAAGAAACAGAGTCCTACAGATGCCATGATAGCTTTCCCCTGAATTCTCCTTGGCACATCACTTCCTTCTGACTAACTGGCATAAACCGAATACAGTAGAGAGAGATGTTCAGTTTTAAAATGTATTAATCCCATATGGAACAATAGAGACTGTTAAAATTGCATCCACTGAAATATAGGTCTTAACCTTTGAATTTCTGTAAACAAATATATTGTGTATTGGTGCTCCTGAGTGCCCCATTTCAACATGGAGCCTGTGTCAGCGGAAAAGTTTGCAACCAATGAAGTATGGTTTTAAAGTTTATTTATCTTAATGTGATGCACAACGTTAATTCATTAATTCCCTGAAGACTTTTAAGGCCACTACATGCTAACCTTGTGTACGCTTTCCTCACTGTCACTCTCACTCACTCATTCACTGAGTGGATGTCTAAACTGCATACATCTACTATCCATCTGGGAAGTAAGAAGGGGGAGGGGTATTCTCGGTGATGTTTATGTATGGACTGAACAAAACGTAATACAGTCAAAGCATATAATTTAGAATGCATGTATATGTTTCACAACAGAGATTTACCAGGCTCTCTCAGCAAGGGCATTTTGGCTTTGTTGTTATAATCAAAGGTCATTCCTTGCCTTATTTTAATTAGTTTGTGTAGAAAATGGTATGTTTTTCATCAGTTCATTTTGGAGATTACTTTTCAAACGATAATGCCAAGAATAGTCAGTGTGCACTGAATTTATTGTCGAGTTTCAAACTAAAGGTCAGACCATTATAGATAAAAGGATGCTATTTTTCAAATCACAGTTTGTGTGTTACACCAAAAGGGGCCCTGAATTGTCCCTCCACTTCGTTACTTACCGTGTTTCCTCTTCTTTGTAGCAGCAGCTTCAAGAGTTTTATAAGAAACAACAGGAACAGTTGCAACTTCAACTTTTGCAGCAACAACATGCTGGAAAACAGCCTAAAGAGGTACAGACAATACGCATTTTACTTTCAAACCGCAGATCCCAGAGGACTGCCTAGTGGCTATTAAACTGTCATTCATCTTATAAATGATTACACAACTGAGCTGACTCTATCAGGTCTCAGCTTTCAGCGTTAGAGTTATTGTCCTGTTTTCTTTTATTTTCCTGTGCTTTCCATTTGCTTGCTGCCACATATTTTATACCACGACATCATGCCGTGCTGTTCGGTGTCAGTATTGGAGCAAGTATCTTGACTAGTGTCTTAAGAGAGCATATCCTGGAAGTAAGTTATTTTACACTGGATGAAAATAAGGATGCAGTAGTCAAGATGCTGTACTCCCAAAGCAGGGAAATACTTCAAGAGGTTTAGAGTGTAGGTTCACTTTTTCAAGGCAGAGGCTCAGATTACATATTTGTCATAGTCGAAACTTAGAACAAGAACTGCATTTAAGGAACATTTGTTGTGACACAGATCAACAGAATCTGAGACGCAAAGATAAGATTGAAGGACCATCCTCAACTCCTCACATTATGTCTAGGTATTACAGTACACGTGCTATGTAGACTAGGAGAAGATATTGATTTGATGTCACTGCAATACATAGACAGAATGGGCAGTTTAGGGCCAAAAGTGTCTGCCTGAACTTTGAATACAGTTGCTTTTCTAAACGTCTATCACAGTCATAATTTTGCATATCCTGGTGTACTGAATTCCTTTTATAGTGGTGTTGCTCTTATTGTTGTTTAAAATTTAAGAAACCGAAATGCTTCGGTGAAGTGGCATGAGAAACTATGTAAATCCATGTTCAAGGACCTGAACATTAGTTAGTCTGTGGCATCAGTGCCTGATTGGACAGCTCTTAGTAAGCTGCTTCTTGGCACACGGTGCTGTGTAATGCCTTTCATCGCAGTGATGCGTTCCTGTCGGTGTGGCAGGCATGCTGTGCTAAGTACAAATAACAAAAACAGCCCAACCTTTTTTTTTTTCCTTTTCATATTTGGTAAATTGTGCCACCCGTGCCCCATTTCAACCAAGAGTGAATTTTTGAGCTTTAAACCACTGGGAAATAGGGGTTTATAGTGGAAACACTGACACCACCTTAACTACAGTGTGCAAACGGGCACCACTATAATAAAAAGGGAACAGATTAAAAAGTGTCTAAAATGTAAATCTAAAGGGCTAACAGTAATTAAAATGGAAATGGCACAGGGAGAGAAGGCATGTAATTGTGAGATATCACTGTGCAGAATGCTCTCAGCTTTGTTTTGCTGGCTGTTTTTCTAATTCAGTAGGGCTTACTCATCAGTGGCAGTTCAATGTGCGTTAATGACTCTGGGATGCAGGCATCACTCCGGACAAAGAAATGATTATTGTGCGGTCAAAAGAAGTTCAAAGACAAGAAGGGAATTTCAGTTTTTTCCTTAGAGATCCACATTCAAGAGCATATAAATTAAGCCAAATGTTAAAAACCACAGTCTGAAAGCTGACTTCAAAGTCACAACTCTCTAATTAATGAACTGCGAGCTTCAGTTTGGACAAGTCGTGGTTTGATGCGCCCATAAATCAACATGACAGGTCTGTTTCACAGTCTCAGACAGTGCTTGTCATTGAGTCACATCAGATGTAAACACAGCAGAAAAAAGAGGGAATATGAAGGAGGTGCAATTGATCAACAGAATTGGTAAAAACCCACTTTTGAAGCGCATTATGCATGATCACAGGAAATGGCTATAGCCTCAAGAGGCTTTCTCCTTCTGCTGTTGCTTTTTTGAATCAGATTTCTAACAGCCTTCAAAAGGGAGAATAAGAATTATGGAGCTTCTCCCCTGTGGCTGGCAGGCAATAACCCCCTGTTGTTATTTTGTGCTTCTTTCTTTTCAAAGGCGTCAAAATTTAGTTTTTTAAAGATCTTTAACTCTATATTTGAAGACAAACAATAAAGGGCTGCCACTGTCATTCTTATCAGTTACCAGGGATTGTATTTTTCTTTCTGTTGCCACTTCTTATTAACCTCTTATTTGGTCTATTAGACATAGTTTTGAATGCAAGCCTGCATGCTGGGAGAACATGAAAGTTCAGATGAGCTCAGAGGGCAGATAAAGAAATTTGAAGGGGAAAGTTACACAGCAGAATGAACGATAAAAGTTAACTCTTCTAAATTGCTGTTGTCAGACAGGAGAGCATCTCCGACACAAAGATGATGGCTTGGAGTTGAAAGAAAAAAATACTTTGTGTTAAAAGGCAAGAAGGGAAGTTAGACAATGTGATGGCATTTTAATATCTAATGCACTGATTTACTGTGGTCACACTTCTGATATTGCACTATCCGGAGTTACAATAAGAAAAGACTCCTTCCTGTTTTAAGAAGAATATTATAATATAATAGACATGGGAGAAAAAAGGTCCAAGACATTTTTTTTCTGTTAGAGGCCTATTTCAACAATGCATTTCATCCTACAGGTTTTTCAAAGCCATTTTCCTGAGCGAAAGAGGGTGTTCTTGCTAAATTAGCATGTAGTTGATGGTCCTTTTTTGTACTAAAAATGACAATAGAGTCACATGCTAGCAATTTTGTGATGTGGATTGGTGGTGATGATTTTAACAAGGTTTTAACTTGGACATTGACGGATGAAATGTGTGTTAATTTACTACATACCCCAGTAGTGGCTCATAATAATGTACCATCAATTTACTAAAAATATTTTTAAAAAGCCAAAACAGTGTTCGTCAGAGATTTGACCTATAATAACCAGGAAAATATGCAGGATTTCTGCTGCCTTTTCTTTTAAATTATATTAAGGGAAATTTAAGTTCTGCAAATAATTTGCAAGAGCTCTTTCTGTAACTCACTGCAGTCTTCAATTTTTTTTGTTTTTTTAAAGATCTAGTTTATTGTGCCTACAAAACTGATTTCCTGGTACCTGACAGAAATGACTTTGAGAAACAGTGGGAAGAATTAATTTTTAAATAAAGGTAGCAAAAGAATCCCATTTTATGCGTTCAACTTGGGCTAAAAGGATTGTTTTAAAAAGGCCGTTTGTCCTCCAGCAGTTTTGACAGTTTATGTTAGGCGGTAGGGAGTAACCTAAGAAAGGAAAACAGACCTTTGACAGAAGCTTTAGGGAGGGGATCAAAAATGCAAGTTTTATCAGGATATTTCAGCATTTTAACACTGACTACTGACCTGACAACAGGACTGCACTGAGACCTTTTTTGTATGCATTCAATTGTGAGAAGTAAACAAACTGACTTATATCCTGTGTTTGGTAACTGGGTGGGGAGCACAGTTTGGCAACGCGTGTTGCTTTTAAATTCTTTCTTGGACAATGGGCCTTGTATACTTTTATATCCTGGCTTTTCAAAGGTAGAGAGCTTTCATGAGCTTTTCCTAGGGATAGCTGAGAAGACAACTAAAGGGGCATCAGTCAATTTATATAAATAAGGTGTTATAAAATCTTAAATTACATTAAGATGGCAAGAAACCCACATGTCCAAAGCAGGGCATATTTTAACTCAGTTTTTTTTTATATGAGAGCATTAATATTTTTTTATTATGAGAATATATGAGGAGCCAAAAATTATTCAGACTTGAACATCACTATCACTTTGGTTCACATTAATCTGATAACTTGCGAAATAGGAAAAACAATTGGATCATTTTGAGCATGCTGTTTTACAAATGAAAATGCTGCCTCTTCCTTTTAATTTATTTAAATTTTTGTTGTCGGTTCTGTCGATTTTGTTTTTTGGAATGGAACTCAATTAACTTTCTCAGTGGTACGGGGTTAGGTCTGAAATTGCTTGTTAATATAAGATTGGTTGGGGTTTTGCTATAAAATAAACCATTTGGGATTATAGTAAAAATAGCTTCCATTACGATTAACTTCTTTCAGTAGCCTTTTTATAAAATCAAGCTTGTGTCAAGTTGAACATGACTGAGTTTGTTTTCCCATCAGTGCTCTGATACCTTTCTCATGATCCGAATGGAGTGTTCCATATGCGAATGATGTGGGTTCCCTCAGTTTTTTCAGGGACCTTTTCAAATGGATCCTCAGGTGGTGCAAACCAAGATTAGTCCAATGACTACAGTGGATTTCACTGTTGAATAGCAGATGAGGGTCTGACCCAGGCAGGATATTTAAAGTGATTATAAGGCATTAAAATGGGGGTTGGGAGCAGGTCGAAATTGGACACTTCTAAGAGTATTTATGCCTGCAGTTTTGTAAGAGTTAATTTTCTTTCCGTAATTGTTAGCTATAATGTGGATAAGACCTCCACCTTGATACGATTCCTACCAGATTAGGGATATTAGATAATTTCCTTCTATTTATTGTACTGCTGCACTGTATTATCTTTCTATCACTCAGATAATTACTAAGGAAATCTACATAAATTGTTTTTGGCTAGCACAAGGAACTGCTAAACACTGGCATGATGTATTGATATTTTACACAACAAAAGTTTTCCTCCTGTCATTGTACAATAAATAAAAAGATATTTATCAAAATGCAAAGCCTTTCATGGTTTTTTAAGAACAAAGCAAATAAAATACAAGATGAGCATAGAAGCAAAACCTAGAGGGTTCCTTAACTGAAGCAATATTAAGGACTCTGAAGCCTCGAGTACAGTACATATTAAACACTCACATTCAAGTAAGATGTTGTTTGCTAAATTATGAATGTATGTAATTAAAATCTAGTGGCTGTTTCTATGAAAGATTTACAATGTTATTTCATCGTTTGTCATGGCTAATTAACAATATTAGATGAAGTTTTTCTTCTTCAAAGGTCTGATTTTTTCTCATTTATTTATGTCAGAAGCGATAAACAGAGTAGTTAAAAGATTCTCCGGGCGCAGTAGTGAGAAAAGCAACATGTTCTTTTACACCTCAAAGGTTCAAGGTTCAAATCCCAGTGGAGTACAGCAACTCAGTCTTCTTTATAGTGAGAATAATTAAAAATTTCAAAGTGCAGAAAGTAAAAGTCTTAAATATAGCGTGGAGCAATTCAATATACAGGAGAAGTACTGTAACTTGATTAATGAGTAAGAGAGAGCAAGTATAGAAAATGCAATAAATTAACCCAATCAGTTGCCTTAATAGTTGAGACAATCCTTGCATGAGTAAATGGAGCATGGCACAGGATTATTTTTCATTCCTCTTAAGTATGATTTGACCTTGTAATGTGATTCTCTGTTCATCCCGAAGGATCATCAGGCACTTTAGACTACACATGGATTGCTTTATTCACCACCAAAATGCAACTGTTTCTGGTGTAAAACTCCTGTAGCGCACTATTAGCATAACAATGTGGAGTAAGAAATGGAGAATAAATATTTAATATGGAGTGTAGGGGGGGTTTCGAAAGGAAGGATGGAATGTCCAGTGTGGAATTGTCCTCAAACAGGTGGTTAACATGGCTACTGAAATAATGACTTAGGATCTTTAATGAGAAATGGTCACAGCCTCCTTTTAATATCGTTGCTGGGCGATGACTATCAGCAGCCCAAGTGTTTTGAAACTGGGAACCATTTAAATGCCTTGTATAAACACTTAGCTCTGAAATGACAAATATGCCTTTTTCCTCTCCTTACAGCCACAGCAACAGCAAGTGGCTTCACAGCAGTTGGCCTTTCAGCAACAGCTCTTACAGATGCAGCAACTGCAGCAGCAGCATCTCCTCTCTTTGCAGCGCCAAGGTCTGCTCACCATCCAGCCTGGCCAGGCTACACTGCCTTTGCAGCCTCTCGCTCAAGGTATGTGTTCAGGCTGGAAGCCACCAGCAGCAACAACTTCTTGGGGCTTTAGAGAAAATACCAGACAAGTGAAAAGGAATAAAAGGTCCCACTGGCTGGTAGAGTAAGGAATAAGAAATGAACTGCCAAACAGGTTGCTCATTAGAAGGTTTGTGGCTGTTCTGGGGAATCACCACACTGAAGTGTTAGATTGCACTAGCTAGAGATGGCCAATCAGCATGGAGTCTGGGTTGAGTTTGCATGAGTGTCCAGAAAGCTGGACTTGAACCTATCAATCTAGATATGTTCAGAATTGGCTTGCTGGCATTTTGCTCATGGTTAGGAATAGTTGGAGGGCACCCTTTCTGATGTTGTTTTGGCACTTCAGGTCCTCCCTCACAGCAAATCAGACATGGGACACTTCGACCCAAATGTTGCTCCTTCGTGGGAGTTGATTCCTTTTTATCTCTAGATATGGGCAACGGTGGGAATGTGTAGGTTTTTCCATACCTGTTTTACTCCTCCTAGAAATGCAGCAGACCAGATCTGTAGCTGGTGTAAACTGGCATAGCTCCATTCTCCTCTCAAACTAAAGCAAATTAGGATTAACTCCATTGAGATCAGTAACATTCTGCTGGCAGAAATTGAGAATCAGATTCTGGGCATCTTTCCACAGTTAGACACATTGCAGTAAATCAGTGCTCTTCTGAACAACGTAGGTTATTAAAGATTGCTTTAAAAGTGTCAATAGCTCCTTTTTATTTGCTATACCTTGAGAATGGTTAAAAACCTGTATTTTATTCCTCCTTCTCTACTTCATTTTCACTGGCTTTATCTGTGTGGCAAGCCTCAGGACGCTGGGCTCAGCCTGAGCCCAGACTGTTCTTACTAAGAAAGCAGATTGTACCAAGTTGGCATGGCTTGAGGAGAAGCAGGTCTTTAAAATATAAGGCTGGTATTTCTGGAGCATCTTCTCTTCTCCCGCCCTTTCCCCCTAAAAATGTGTGCTAAATATAAACTGTCAGCTCAGCATCTCAGGGCAGCACAGGCTGAATGATTGGTTTCTTCAAAGCTGTTAACAACCTCAAGCAGGCCTGCCGACAGGAGGGGTAAAAGGGACAGTTGCGAGGGTTGCCAGATAGTTTCACAAAAAGTACTGAACAGGGCAGGAAAAAAATTGGTTGACAAAGAAAAGGAAAAAAAAAAGGACCAAAGTTGTTGAGCAAAAAAAAGTGTCATGGTGCCTTTACCTCCCCACGCCCCCGCCATAAGCGGCAGGGGAAGAATGTCCCAAGCGGCCTTCTGCCCGACAAAAAAACCCAGAAAGTATATTCTGGGAGTTTTTACCAGGCAGAAGCCGCAAATACTGGACTATCTGGTACAATACTGGACACCTGGCAACCCTAGCAGTTGCCCTGTGGCACAGCAATTCAAAAGGACTCAGGGCTCCCGACCACCACCGCTGCGACTGTGGTAATAGCAGCAGCTGGAGCTTTGAACCCTTTAAATTGCCACCAGAGCTCTGTGCAGCACGCTTCAGGCAGCACAGAGGGCTGTGAGGAGAAGCCCCACAGTCCGGAATTTTCGGCTCCTGCCCAGTGAAAAAATTCAGAGAATACTAGACACCTGAGATGTCCGGTATTTTCTGAATTTTTCCCCAGCCAGGGGGCAAAAATGTCAGGCACCTGGCAACCCTACAAACACTCAGCACCCGGCCTCCCCCCCGAACCCGTCCACCCGGCTCCCGAGTTCCTCTCTGGCCCCCAGCCCCCCGACACCAGCCCCCATGCTTACCTGGTTCGCAAGGCTGCCAGCACAAAATGACTGCCGGCCAAAAGACCTAGGGGTCTCCCCCCTCTTCAACAGAATTTTTTCCCGGTGTTTTTTTGGGGGGGAGGTTGGGTGTGTTCGGTATTTTTGTTTCAACCATCTGGCAGCCCTAACCCCACACCTTCTGGGAACACGGAGTCAGCCCTTCCTGCCCCTCTTTGCACAGGGGCCTGGCAAGGCTGGCAAGCCCCCAGGCCTCAAGGCTCAAACCCTATAATGCATTTTTTCTCCTGATTCCTTACTCCCCCACAAATATATATATTTCTGCAAGAGGGAGGGTAATACAGCCCAAGTTTTAAGCTGAAGGGATGTAGCCATAGGGAGATACCTGTGTGAAATCCTCATTGGCCATATTGGGCAATGCATTTACTTCCATCCCTTTTCCAACTTGATTTTGAAGAGAGAGATAAATTATGGAGGTCTGAGACTAGAATTGCCCCACACGTGACTCTCCCATTGGTTTGATTGGATGCTGTGTCTGTGAGGGCTGCAGGATTGGGCCTTTGGTATTTACTCATCCTCTATCAACAGGGTTTGGAGGAAATAGTAGAAAACTGATCCCCAAAAAGAGACACATAGGCTATGCCATTTGTACTTGCAAAATGTTATAACCTGCATTAATTACACCTTCAGATTTATTGTTAGAAACATCGCAAGCTGTTCCTACACACCCACCGGACTCAAGCTTCAACCTTTCTAATTTTTCCCACAGCTCCTATACTATTAAGTTTGCTCAGTAAGGTTCATTATATAGTACATCAGTTAAGCTGTCCAAAAGAGGGCAATTGGGCAGTGACAAGACACGCTCATGTGTAATGTGAAAGAAATGAATGTGGTGATGCATGAAGTGTAATCTGTGCAGTAACACATCAGAGACACCAGTAGGTAATTCAGCAGTCATGGCATTGATTGATATGGTTAGCAGTGTAGTATAACTATTAGTCCCTACAACATTAGGAAGGAACATGTTTAAAATCTAAAGGGTGCCTGCCTCGCATGCGAGAGTTCACATAAATATAAACAAAGGTGTTTCAGAGGTCTGATTCTAGAAGGGAAATGAACTATAGTGTTGACATCATCCCATGTGAAACTGGGATTCAGTTTAAATAACTTGAGAATTCAGGCAGGTTGGAATACAACACATTTTTTTTTTTTTATCAGAGAGATGATGGCTTAAAACTGATGTCATTATGAGGTTTAAATCAACTTTCTGCTTGCTTGAACATGGTCACCTGGGTATGGAGGTACAAGGACAAAAAGAGGTTGAGCAACTCAGTTTGTCTTTGAGCCAGTGATACCTGGGGTTGTGAAATTGAGTTCCATGAACAGTAATCTGTCAACTGTCCCCACAACATACATTTTTTAAACCCGCGCCTGCATTTTCTTTCATAATGAAAGGGACTGGTTGTCCTGAAAAAAATGCAATGATGAGCCAGAGTTATGGTTTAAAATACTTGGTAATAAATGCCTTAAAAAGTATCTCTAGTGTACCCATTTCTTTTCAGAATATTTTGCCTGATTGGAACAAATACATTCAAATACATAAAAAGCTTGAGTAAATGTAGACACATACTCATGGCAAATTCAAACATTTGCTACCTACTCATATTCTAGATGGCATATAGTATTTGTAATCTTAATAAATGTTTCCAAGGAGTGAGCCATAGTTTATATATAACTTTTGTTTTGGTTTTCAGAATTTGTTCATTGTTTAAAACTATATTTTTGTTTCAACACTTACCTATTGTCTTATACAAAATAGCACATCCTCTAATGTTGTATTTTTGTAATCTTTGCAATTTTATACTTGGACACATCTATGATCTGGAGTTTACATTTGAACACAGTCACAATTTTAAAATAAAGCCAATTTCAGCAGTATTCTGAACTATTCGAGCTAATTGTTCAAAATATCACATCAAATTACTGTATTACTGAGTGCAAATAATAGGATGGAGACTTTAAATAGTCTGATTTCTCTCACAGGTCAGGCAGATATAGGTCTAAATTTTGTTATATGCACTTGCAGAGTTGCAGATGTAAATAATTGTGACCAGGTGCAATTTTAGAAGTTTGATTTAAAACTTGTTCCTTAATATTAAAATGAAATGAATATAAAGGTAAATTACATCATTTATTGTATTCATTGATTTATTGGATTTGATTTTTAGCATTTGTTCCATAATTTTGGAAGATATGGTTAGTGGCACCGTATTTAATAAGTTAGTTTGATGAGCAACTAAGCATATCTTTAATCTGTTAATTTCACATCTTAGATAGGAATCATCTTTGGAATTATTGTTAAAGATTTAAATTTTGCTTTCTGACCAAGTGATTGGGTCATTTGAAAGTAACTAGTATCACTTGTGTACATATATGGTGTCATAATTCCAAATCTATTATCTGTTCCTGTCTGTCCTGAAAGCCTTGCTCATGTTTCCTACATTAGTTGCTACTATGCAGCATTTGCTGCCTTCCACTTCCAAAAACTTAATGTAATAGTTACCTTTCAATGTATGGGTGTAATTTTCATTAATGTTAATGAGTTATGCTTGTGTATTAAGTGTAGAACAAACCTACTGACTTGGGAGGGGGAGGCTATAGCTATAATATTTAAAAGCTTTATCTTCAGATGAAGCATTCATACATCCAAAAATGACTGGGTGAATTCTATAGATTTTCCCAATTAAAAATCTATTACTTGCCCTCAGAATCAGATAGTGACAAAAAATAATATAAATGGACTATTATTCTTTCTCTATTTGTTTTTCCCCCAAAATAAAAATAGGCATCGTCAACTCATATAGTCTTATATCAATATGTTATCATCCACAGACAAGCCTATTCACTATTGTTTCAATCGAGTAAACAGTGGTGTAAGGGTCAGCCCTGTTCACAGGTAATTGTTAGTGTGCAGACAGTCCTGTCAAGCATGTTAGCTAAAAATACATCCCACACTGTCACTTTGCAAGGTGTTTGAAAATAATCGCCCAGATGCAGCAAAACAGGACATAGGCTTGTGTACTGACCTTTCTCTTTGTTTAATTTGTCTCAGAGGTTTATTTTCAAGGGACAAGTAATAATTGACTCTGTCTAATAACTAAATGCTCATTTGGGACAAAAACCATCAAAACATAAATGACATTTGATATTTACGAAAGAAAAATGACTTGGCTTTGGAGCAGTAGATACGTCCTAAGACTGTCTGATCACCTAACATATAAATTGAAGCTTCTTTCACAATATATATTAATTGCAGATACTTTCGCATTTTTTCGTAGTGAACCGTTAGCAGAGACCAACTGTTTTTGTTAATGCTACTCTCAGAAAGGCGGGGAAGGTTATTGGTCTGTCGTGCAATAATTTACTCCTCTTTGATATGCAAACGATCCACGGTGAATATAAAAAAATCCTATCAGACTCATTTCACAGTTCTTAACCACTTAGATTCTCTGGAGTCTATCGCCTCATTAGACCAGTGCTCTCCAAAGCTAGCATAATTAAAATCTTTAACAGTTTAGCAAAGTAAAGATGTTTGGCTGATCACGTTGAGATGATTATCTATCCATTGTATTCTAAATGACAAAAATAAATTAAATTTAGACCTTGGCATTTTTTATTATGTGTTTCAAATGAATATAATGCATACTGCCTCCCCCCCTCCCCCCAGTACCGTAGGTTTGGTAGGAGACATGCCTGTTTGAGCTGCTGCTGTGTATTCGGAAAATGGCAGATTTTCTTAGGATAGCTGCAGAATTACAACAGACTGAAAGAATGAACACCGAACCAACTTACCCAGGAAGTCCAATTCTAAAGCAGACTTTTTGGGAAGACTTTCAGTATTTCATATATTTTAAGATGTCTTTAGAAAGATGCCATCACCTCTGGTTATTCTGTTCTCCCATGCCCTTCTGAAACAGCATTGAAATGTTCTGTGATGTGAGAATGTGAGGTGTTAGATCATGCATTCTGAATAAAGATTATGTTTATGACATGATCAAAGTATAGCGTCTGGGTTATACTGGGCCAAGTTATCCCTGCTGTATATGAATTTTTATCCCACTATTGTTGTGTAAAGTTCTCATTTGGAATGCTGGCTGAACATTGTAAATAAGGTTGGTGTCCATTTTGACACGGCTATGAAGCAACATTTCTTGAAGCTTATTTTATGTTTTCATTTCACTTTTGAATGGCTCATTAGCATTGATCTAAGAAATGACAGTAATAATAGTGTTACTTGTATAGAAAGTTATACAGTTTTTCAATAGACACATCCATCAATTAAGTGAGCAGTACTAGAAACCAAAATTAATGAGAAAGATAGGTGTGTTAATGAAATAATCATAGTATAATCAATTTGACTGTTAAAATTTGAAAAGCATTCCAGGAAGACAATATGAATTCATAATTTATGTCTAAAAGTGATTAATAAAAACTGTATTTAATAACAACGCTATTTGTCATCATTTAAAACTAAACCGCAAAATTAGTCATATTTGTAGTTCATCTTATCATTGTAACACAGTTGAATAATTTTATTTAAAAATCTTCCTTGGTTCTAAAAATAGACTAGAATGCATTCTGTTCTTGTTAAAAATGTAGCAAAACTTCTTCAGAGGTTCCAGAGTATAGCTTGGCCCCACTTTCTTGCAATCATCTCATAGACAAAATTCATTTGGAGCTGTGCCTCTGAAGGGACTCTGGGATTGGACCGTCTGATACAAAAATCATAGAAATACTAATTAACAGCACATTTTCCCCCCAGAAATCTTGCTTCTGTAGGAATTACATGTTGGGTGCTGATCAATTTAGCAGGAAAAATGAAGTGTTACTTGTATTAGCCTTTAGTTAACAGAAAAACCCCACAGAAAACTAACACTAGGCTTTGTTTACTGACTCTTTGATTTAATTACTGTTTTAAGACGGCCGAATTAGCTGTTAATTGATTTAATTATCCAATTTGTTTGTTTTAGGCATGATTCCAACAGAATTGCAGCAGCTCTGGAAAGAAGTAACAAGCTCTCACACAGCAGAGGAAACAGCCAGCAACAATCACAGCAGTTTGGACCTGTCCACCACATGTGTCTCCTCTTCAGCACCTTCTAAGACCTCCTTAATAATAAACCCACATGCCTCAACTAATGGACAGTTATCGGTCCACACTCCTAAAAGGGAGAGGTAGGTGCTGGTAGAATTTACATCTATCTACGTGTACATCAGTATCTGGTTATTGTGACATTGGTGACTCAAAGGGGAGAGCCTAGCCCACACTTTTTGCCTTTGCTTTCTCTCCTCCCATTGATGGGTTTACAGAAAATTGATGATAGTCAGAATTTGGCCCTTTTGTTTAGGTCTTTGATACAATTAGCAAGTTACAATGTTACACCAATGCGTGCATGATTAGTTTAGTAAATACGACCTGATCTGTGATGTGGTTATAATTGTTTTAAGTTTTCCAGCATGGTATTCGTGTTACTGTTGATGTGCCCTCTAGATAGAATTAATTGGTCAGTAACCTCCCATTTCATCATAAATCATCCACTTGTTACTATGTAGTTGTTCCTTATCTTTCACTGTGTTACGTGGTTGCAGATGTTCTGCACTCACCCACTATGACAGATCAGAGCAGACTTGAGTTCTCCAGGTTGATAAGAACTGTACTATGTCTTTTAAAGTGCTTGTAAATTCAGAGTACTGGCCATAAGGGTGGTTTTTAAAAGTTGGAATAATGTGTACTTGCCTGGATGATGGTTTTAAAGTGGTGGCTTAAGTCAGGAGTTGTCTGTTGAAGATGATTCTTAAGTACTGGTTCTACTAAATGTGAACACTATTTTATTGAGATTTTTCTCCCCTCCCTCCCCCCGACATTTCTGCATCAGGTACTTCTAACATTTTTAAACTATTGATTACAGTGAAATATATGTTCCTAAGTAATGGATAGTTCTTGTTCTTGCTTGCAAAGCTACTGTAAGAGTTCAGGCATAAAGTTTAGTCTAAAGCCTGAGGGCACACACCCATGTGTCAAGCCAAGATATATGCTTGTGTTCCCCTTGTAAGGTTCCACATGTGGCTTCCCTCCTTCCCCCCCCAGGGTACAGCTCACAAAGCCACCCCTCCCCCATGGCTTGTAAACATGTCCCCACACCCCTGAAAATGGCCCTCTCCTCCTGGCTCCCTTTCCTCACCGGGGCAGGGGAGCCATCTGGCCTGGCTATTAAAGATGGAGTATTAAAGATGGCATCGGCCAGCGGGAGCCTGATGTGGCCAAAAAGCCTCTAAACGTTTTCTTAAAGGGGCAGTCATGGGGTTGTGTTGTTTTTTTTTTCCGCACTGGATCCACTCATATCTTGGCTCTTTGCCTGGAATGGGTTGGCCACCCCTGTTCTACAGCATGCTCAGATGAGAAATGCTGTCCTTACCTCAAATGACATGATGGACAGGTGTGTTTGGGATTTCAGCCAGGTTGCCTGCTCTGTCTTTCATACCAACTCTCACCTTGCTGCTGTAAGGAGATCCTGATCTTTGAACCCCTTACTGTAGTCTTCATCCCTCTACCAGCCTGCTAACTTCCACAGGTGGGATGTCTCTTGCTGTTTTCCTCCTCCCACTCCCCAGAAGTCTCTGGTTTTCTACAAACAGCAGAGTGAGATTGACTTGATTCCTTTCCCTTTTGTCTACAGAGGTTCTGAGCAGCAACATTGAAACTCTTTTTGCTGCTAATTGAAAACAGCAGCAGAGGAATTGGGTCGGCAGACTAAGGAAGACAGTACTGTATACTTTAGTGGGCGTGTCAGAAGGTTCCTTTTGCTAGCCTAGAAACTTAATTTTCAGTTTTTGGTGAAAGTTAGGTTCCTCAAAAGTGGATAGTTTTGTTCTTCCTTCACCCTTTTGCTCCCTGGGAAGTAGATGAGTGATTTTTTTTCAAGCCTGGGAGCTATCCCAGTGATTGAAAGCATGTTGATAAGAAAACAGCATAAACACATATTGGATCTTTCTAACATTAAGCAAATCAAGCTGTTATGAATAGGTATAATATATAGAAGAACACACTGTTGAGAAAATTACTTTTGAGGCACTGTTATGTACAGTAGGAAGAATTTTGTTCCTTGCATAGGAAGGACTCTGACCTGCCTATGACTGTACATTCTTATATTGGTATGATACCAATGTATTGGTCGTAACATGTGCCATCAAGGATATAGTTTCCATGAAGTACTAGATAGGGTTCTAAACTAACTTAATAGTGTTTCATTAAATGAACTAAAACAGCTGAACTTAGAAGGGTTTATAATTTTCTGTTCATATTTATACTCTTGTATTTTCAAAAAATATACAGGCAGTCCCTGGGTTACGTGGCTCTGACTTACGTTGGATCCCTACTTACGAACGGGCCCCGCCCCCAGCAGACCGCCGAGACGCTCCCCGGCGGCGC